GGAAAGCACTAAGGATGGGGACTGATTGCCAAAGGAGGACCAACTATGTGATTAAGTGGTTGGAATTTTCAGTCCCAATCCCTGACCTCCTGGGATTGGAGGGGCTGGGGGTTGGATCAGCCAGTGGCCAATGACTTAGTCAATCATGACTACATTATAAAAACCCAAGAGGACAGCTCTTTGGTCCTTTATGGAGAGCTTCCACTCTCAGGGAAGCAGCATGCTCCTACATTCCACCAAGTTCCATGAGGACAGAAGCTCCTTTGTTTGGGAACTTGCCCTATGTATCTCTTAATCTGGCTGTTGATTTATATGTTTTATCCTATCATTTAATAACCTGGTCAATGTAAGTAAGTGTTTCCCTGAGTTCTGTGAACCACTCCAGCAATTTCATTGAACCTAAGGAGGAGGCTGATGGAACCTCCAGTCTGGTTGGTCAGAAGCACAGGTAACAGCCTGGAGCTTGTGACTGGCATCTGAATTGGGGTGGGAGGCAGTGGGGGGCAGTCTTGTAAAACTGAACTCGTAACTTAGAGTCTTTTATGCTAGCTCTGGGGAGATAGTGTCAGAACTGAGTTGAACTGAGTTTAATTCTTAGACACCCTGCTTGTGTCCAAGAATTGCTTGACCCCCCAGTGTTGGAATTGGGTCCAGAGTCCCTAAAAGAGAGAGGTAGCTATTAATGTTAAGAATAATTAACTAATACGTCCAATCTCTTAAAGTCCTTTCATGTCATAGGTGATTTTTAAAATGTATATCAGTTACTCTTGCTGCATAGTAAGTAAGCCAAGAACAGTGGGCTAACACAGCAATTTTGCTCATGATTCTGTGGGTCAGACATTTAGGCCTGGTTTAGCTGAGAGTTTCATGCAGCTGCAGTTATCTGGTGGCTTGACTGGGGCTGCATGGTCTAAGATGGCCTCATTCACTTGGTTCGGCATTGGGTGCTGTCTCTTGGCTGGGCTCTGTGTCTTCAGCAGGCTAGCCTGCACTTCTTCACATGGTGGTAGCGTTTCCAGAAGGGCCAATCCCAATGTACAAACATTTTGCAAGCCTTGTTTGCAGCATGTTTGCTGATGTCCCATTGACCAAAGCAAGTCCCATAGAAAATGGGCTCAATGTAGGAGGGGGCTACACAAGAGTGAGGAAACAGGGAGGCATGGTTCTCTGGGAGCCTAGCCCTGTGACCATCTCCTACAAGCTGCCATTGGTATAGTTGCTTCTTGAAATGGTACTAGCACAAGCACTGACTTCACCTAAAAGCTGAACCAAGGTGGATGGGTGTGGATGTGTATGTATAAGATTAAAAAGAAGGTATGAGATAACAATATGGAGAAAGATTGTATTTAGTATGTAAAGATGGCTGCCTGTCACAATGTTAGTAGTAATATAATGATATAAACTTGAAGAAATGTGGTAGCTTTTGACTTCCATCAAAAATGTTCACATTGTTGGATATTTGATGATACTAAGAAACTATTTTAAGTGGAACAGTGGTATGGTGGTTATGGTTTTTAAAAATCCTTATCTTTTAGGGATATATACTAAAATATTTACAGATGTAATGATATGATCTGGGATTTACTTCAAAGTCTGGGGTTGGGGGCGGGGAGTGGAGTATAAATAACACAAGACTGGATGGTGTTGGTACTTGTTGGACTATCAGGGATAATAAACACATCACAGTCTGCACACTTTCATACCTTGTGTATGTTTGAAAATTTCCATAATAAAAAAAGCTTGAAGAGAGTGTCCAGATCCTTCACTGGCCTCAACGATGGATGGAAGCTGTCACACATAGCACCCTAAACTGCTGCTAACCGCTTTCCTAGTAAGGTGGGGTTGAGTATGCAAGCATGCATTCAGTGCTAGATTTGGAAACCGCTTGCTCCTCATCTGGGTTTTAGTGTATAAACAGTGTTCTACATTTAATTAAAATAATTAGAAGATATTTGCTGAGAGGCCCAGCAAGTGAAACACTTCCTCATTAGGGAGATTGTAGAGATTCTCTGGGACATCACTGATCTCATCTTGGGTTTGGTGGAGGACGCTCGTTGCGCATGTAGTGAATTAGATCTGACACCGGAGGTTTGGAGTAAGAGGTGTGGTAAGTGCTGTTCTCTCCAGGCCTTTGCTAGCTCTTCATATTCCTGACTAATTTGTTGTGCCCCCTAGAATCTGAAGAATTGGGCACTGCCACCGTAGCCTTGCGTGGGGAAAGTAAAGCCTCTCTTCCTGTCTTCAGTGGATACTGGTGATTCTATGATTCTTCTTGTAAAAACAAAATCATGAGTGAACACCATACCCAAATTTCATGTTATGCAGTTGCTCGCTCATTGTGAAGCCCGAGGCTGCCATTGACTCGACTGGGATTCTGTGCTCTGTAACTACGCTTCCGTGCACCCCCTTCTTTTCTTTTCTTTCTTTTTTTTTTTTTTTGAAGAGATGTTTTCCCGAGGCTCTGAACTTTAGAAAACCCCCATTAAAATTTGTTTTATGGGGTTGCTTTGATAATTTTTCCAGATTTTTCTTTTCATTTAAACTTTTTGATTGTCTCCATCTTCTCTGACAAAAGGCAGTTAAAGTGGGTTTTGCTTTGTGCACACAGAGCACAAAGCTCCTCTCTGAAAGGGGCTGTGAGAGGCAAGCTATTTGATCCTTGGATCTCTGAGGTTAGACAAGGAATTAGAAATATCTGAACTCTACTTTATCCCCTAATCTTATCATTCCAAATGTGTGCTTAATAAGAAGCAGAATCAATACTTCAGGTCAGAATAAGTTCAAATGGTCTAGAATTTTTATATCTACAAATGAAGAAAAAAAAACTGGTTAGAAATATTTAAAAATACCATCCTTCATTAGATGTACAGTCAGTCTCCGACTTTCCCACAGAATGCCATTTAAAGTGTTAATGTTGAGATGATAACTGTGATTAACCAAAAGCATCATTTCTTTCTTCATTCCTGCAGTGATATTGGAGGGGAGACCACTAGGAAACTGACTTTCCAATGATATTTTTATTTTTTTTCCGATGACATTTTATAACAGCGCTTTTTCTGAACTCTTATCAGTTATTACCTCAAACCTCCCAAAATTATGTCAGACTAGTAAATTCTGGGAGAACAAATAGTCAAAATATTATTAAATTGTCCCCATATCTGAGGATGTGTTATAAAATGTATCTGGCACAAAGATAGAGTTTTCACTAAATCGATCTTACCCAAAAGCTGGAGCTGGAGGAAACTGGAGACAGGATGGTTAAAGGGAAGGGTACACCCCTGTGAAACAGGCCACCTGTCCCAGGTGTTCATCCCTGTGAACCGGGATGAGAGTGGCCAACCTGGCCTTGACACAGTCAAGCTCACCTAGTTAGATGAGCACAGGTGCCAAAACTTGGGACACAGGGGACCACTGATTCTGTACTTGCTTGGTTTTCTATAAACAGGTGATATGAAAACCACATTGCATGGTCAGCCAATCTGGGTGTCCATTCTCTCACCCGTCAGGACTGAGTTGTGAAATGTGACCAAGGGTACCTGCAGGGCCGGAGAATCGGCACCTTTGGGGATGCAGGACTGTGGAACTCCTCGGTTGCCGGTTCAGAGAGACTGCTGGACTTGGCTGGGACGGGCTCAGGCTTGCCACTTCATGCGATGGGGGAATTTGTGGGCATCCTGGGCCCCTTCACCTGACGGCTTTGCTTGGGGAAGGATAGTCCTATTTAGTGAGTACCAGCCACATAAATCATCTTTATAGAAGCTATTCTTACCGCAATCCCACAAATGCAATCCTATTATCCTCCTGGGGTGAGCTAGAGAAAAAGCAAGTAATTAGCTGCAGGTCACACCTGGTTGGTGAGTGGCATAGCCAGCATGCAGGCAAGGTCTGGTCATCGACAGCGTGTGCTTTTCTGACTGTCTAGTTTTAGCGAGGGCAGGCACAGAAATCACTTACAGAAGCTGGCGACACAGGTGAGCGTCACCCCTGGCCGAGAAGAGTGGGCACGGGTAAGGAGGGAGCCATGCAAAAGCACAGGCAGGTGGTGTCACAACCTAAAATGAGGCAGCCACGGAGCAGGATCCAGGACGGAGAGAGATTAAGGGATGGCAGAGCTGGGCCTCGGGGGAGGGTGCCAACGAGGAGCAGGACTAAAATACCCTCAGGAGGAGGGCAGTGGTATGGGGGTGTGGTGCCAGCTGGCTCAGGTTTCCATGTGAAATCCAAAGTGGCAAAGTGTAAAGCAATTATTCTCCTGCACAAATATGCATTACTTTTAAGAGGAGATTAAAAAAAAAAAAAAAAAAGGAATGTAGAGGTGAAGCCTATCTCTGGTATATATTTTTGTGACTGGCATATGCAGGCTCTCTAGTGTCACCTCAGGCTCCACCCCCACCCCCGGGGACCAGGCGGGGGGAGGGGGGTAGGCCCAGAGCCACAGTGCCAAGTGGAGGCGCTGACGTCAGGCGGTCCTTGCTGCTGCACTGGGCCGTGCGGTGATCCGTGGGTGAGGCCAGTTCCGCTCACCTGCTTCTTGTGGCTCTTGCCTCTGACCAGGATCCTTGCTGTGCTCTGTTGGGAAGCAAGCTCAGGAATGATCAGGCACTTGAGGGCTCCCTGCGGCTGGGATTCAGGACAGACCTCGCCTCCTGGACCAGAGCAGAGCAAAGGGTGGGCCAGGCGAGACGCAGCCCCAGAAAGGACAGTGCTGGGCTCCAGGGTAAAGAGCCTGTCTAATTGCGGAGTACTTCTCAGACCTCCTCAGGATATCTGTTGGCCTTTTCCTACCCGTTTGACTGGGAAAATAGACAGTGGCAAGCATCTTTTAAGTTTGCAGACTGCACTCTGGCACGCCTGTGGTTGTGAAGATCTTGCAGAGAAGCTGAGTTAGGATGGAAAGAGTGGGAAGTCTCATTAGAGCGAGCGTGAAATGCAGATCACACCTGAGGTCTCTGTGAGCGTGTCAAGTGTGACCTTGCCCTGGGCGCTCTCTGCTTTTCCAGGTGGCGCTGCGGCTGGAAGATGGTGATGAGACTGCAGAGCCGCCCCCCAGCGGGCGCCGGGACCGGAGGAGGGCCAGCGTGTGTTCCGGCGGCGGCGGCGCGGGCGAGCAGCGGGGCCTGGACCGCAGGCGCAGCCGCAGGCACTCGGTGCAGAGCACCAGCAGTCCCGTGTCGGCCCCCACCAGTCCCTGCTCCCAGTCGGCTCCCGGCTTCAAGCCCAGCCAAGTCGGAGAGCACTGTGAAAAGTAAGCATTATCCCAGCCCTTGTGAGGGGCGCTGGGACCCTGGAGAGGTGGGAGGGGTCACAACCCCGCAGGTACCCACCACCGTCCCGCCCTTCCCTGCTGGCCACACAGCCTCCCCTGACTTGCTCTCCATCTCTTCTCTACCCTTAAAACACCACCCCAGAGGCCCTTAGATCATCCGCAGGCAAGGTGGCCCTGGGGGTAGGCATAGATTTGATCTTTTAACCCCAGGAGCTCTTCTTCACACATTTGTGTTTTTATAGTCATATCTCAGTTAATATCTGTTCAGAAAATCTGTGCTTTATCAAATGGAAAAGAATCCAAAACACAAACGTTTACTAGAAACAAATGGTGTGCCATCCTGTAAATATAAGATCATTAGAGTCTTGAGATACTTGTAGCAAGGCATAGTTGAGGGTGATTTTAAATAGAATAAGCCTGTGTGAATTAAACAGATAAAATATATAAATATAAACATATGTACATATACATTATATTTATAGGAGTAGGTAATATATAGATATGTAAATTTCAGTAAATGCTATTGCCATCATTTTTTTAGTCATTTAGCAAACATTTTTATTGAGTATCTGTTCTAGGCCAGGACTTCCTGATGCCATGAAGATATAAGGTCTGACCTCTGCCCTTCTCAAGCTCACAGCTGGGTTGGGAGAAAGTAAGAATGAGGAAGGTAGATAGGAAGGAATAGAAAGGTTGACAATCTCATGAGAAATTATATATATACACACAAAGTAATAAATTTTGACAAAATCTGTAGGAACTGAGAAATGGTTCTATAAAGCAGAGGTGCAACAAAATGGATGGCCATGCTGTTCTGGAGTCTGGGTCCACCGGTATCTTCCCAAGTGAATGCTGTCCATTCACTAGGATGATGGAGCTCTGTGGACCAGTGCATGCCAGCCAGTCCACCTGGACTGACTGGTACACAGGGTTGCCGACTCATTACCTCCTCCTGTTGGCACATGGGAGCTCTGCTTACCTCATTTGGCTGAAGCATTTTCTGTCATCATGGAGATCCACCTGGGAGCCACATGTAGGTCATGAGGCTGCCTGGTGAAGAAGAAACTAACCCAGGATAAGTTGGATGACCTTAAGAGAGTGATCAAGATATGTCCCTTCCTCTATATCCCTAAGGGAACATCTGCCCCCATCTTGAGAGATGCCCCAAGTAGTCTGGTACGCATGGAATCACTGGAGGATGAACTGACCATGCCTTTGGGCACCTCCTGTCACAGAAGTAGAGGAAGGCATTAGTCTGAGAGTGATGTGCAAGCCACTCTCCGCCTTGACACCCTTCTCTACCACGTAGCTATCCATCTACAGATTGTTCTAAGAGTCTGTGTAGAACAAGCTCTGTTGAAAGGAAGACCAAAACTTCTAAACAGATTGAGGTATGAGAACGTCTACCATAAACGTTGCCCCTTGTGGTCTAAGATCTTCAGGAAACTTAGGCAGTGCTCAAAGGGCACATAAAGTTCTCTTCAGCACCGCTCGTAGCTAATGGCTTCAGAAATTAACATGGAGAGAAGTGTATACAGTGGGCTGAAAATCTATATGTAAAACCACCCCAGATGCTGAGGACAGTCATTTGGAGTCCTTGTCAGCAGCACTTGGTGGTCTCCTATTCTGTCCGACTTGTGTCCTGTAGATTCCTGGTCTGTTTCTTGCTGTTAAACTTTTCAAAGGTGCCCACGTTGTGAGCTCAGATGGCCATGCCTTGTGACAGGTTGGCAAGGGTGATAGCAGTGGAGTGGACCATCATGGGCATAGTTCATGGTTTCGGGGTGTGGGGCTTGGGGGGGGGATCTGGAATGGGAAGCCACACGTGGTGCTCTGCATGCTTCTTGTCTCATTCTCTTCAAATAGGACTGAGTTTTTGTAACTCAGAAATGGTCTGTAAATTTACAGCTTTTATTTGAGAGGAGTAAACTTTCCTGCTTATAAAGACAGATAACATTTTACAGATTGATTATGAGGTGGCTTCATCCATGAAGCCTGTTGGAGGGGTTTTGCCCTCTGGCCCCAAAACAAGAGTACAGTTTTGGCAGAGGTGGGAGAGGGATGGAGGGAAAGGGTGACGAGAAGCCCAACGGGAAGTGATCCCTGCATGCAAAGCTTAGTCACCTGCTCAACATCTGTGCCTCCAGAAAGTACCTTAGAATCAAGTAGTTCATTGTGTCAGACTCCCCGTGGACCTTGAAAGATGCAGAAGCATGCCGCACCTAGATTGTTCTTCATCTATGAGAGCATTCTGGCCCTACTCACCGCTGACTAATAGCAACATGCCTTGCATATGCCACATAGGAATTCCAGACTGGATTTTTTCATTCTGACCCAACTAATGCCTCTGAAAAGAAGATGATAGGAACATGTTAGAGGTTAGAGATTCATGTTGCCCTAAACTGCATATGGCGTTCTCCACTCAGATGGTCCTTTAACATCATCTGAAATTCTCATGATGATCCTCTGTAGGATCTAGCAGGACAGGAGTCTTCATCTTCATTTTACAAGTGAGAAGACAGGGGCTTGGTGCCTTGTGGTGATCTCAGGACCAAGGGGCTGAGCTCTGGGTTAAACACGAGTCTTTGGCCCTTGTCTTTCAATGTCCAAATCACATAGAATCACTTCCCAACCCACCATCCCTAAGCATAGTCACTGAGTGAGAAGGGATTTTATTTACATACTATGTAGGTATATTTTTTCGATGTAAATATAAAAATTCAAAGGGCTGAAAAGGAGAAAATTTCAAAGTCATCTTATGACTTAAGCCTGCTGGGCTACATGCTTTAGTTCCAGTAAGGGCTAAGACTCCAAGCACAGATTGGTTTGCTTTGGTTTCTTAAGAAATAGAACTCTGCACTGAGCATTTATCAAATAAGGTATGAGTTTATTTGGTTATTGGTCATCTGTCACCTAAAAACATTTTTTTTTTTTTTTTTTTAAAGAGAGTGAGAGAGCATTTGAGTGCAAGGGGTGGGGAGTGGGGAGGGGCAGAGGCAGAGGGAAAGAGAGAATCTTAAGCAGGCTCCACGTGGGGCTCCATCTCACGACCCTGAGATCATGACCTGAGCCAAAATCAAGAGTCGGACGCTTAACCGACTGAGCCACCCAAGTACCCCAAAAATGAAATTTAAAATATAAGTGTAAAGATAAAGCTCATTATGGCACACATAGTCACAAAAGATGCTTTTGGGGCGCCTGGGTGGCTCAGTCAGTTGAGCGTCCGACTCTTGATTTCGTCTCAGGTCATGATCTCAGGGTTGTGAGATGGAGCCCCACATTGGGCTCTGTGCTGGGCGTGGAGCCTGCTTAAGATTCTCTCTCTCCCTCTGCCTCTCGCCCCCTACCTCCCGTGCTTGTGTGCGCTCGCTCTCTCTCTCTCAAAAAAAAAATATAAATTATCTTTGCACTTCCATCTTTGCACTGGAAGGAAGAAAAATGTTGGTGCTTTCATTTTTTGCCAAGAAAAAAAATATTTTTAGCATCAAATCAGCAAAAGAACCAGTGTCACTGGTTTAAATGATAAATAGTATATAATCTTAGGAGAAAAAAAGTCTTAAGCCCTAGAGCAGGAGACGTTTCTGTGCACTTCCAGGCTCAGGCCCTCTCCTCTCTGGGGTACCCCATTCTATCCCTGAACTTTTCTGTTTATGAGGAAGGTCTTCTGACCTAAATGCACTCCATAATATTCTAGCTCTATTATTGTTTCGTATTCCATTACATGGATGAGATTTCCCCATAGTGTTTTCCTATTCATCCTGGTTCTTACCTCTGTCAGCACACACCAGGTCTTCTTCCTGCTGTGTATGTCAGTCGCTCTGATAATGAATATTGCATGGGACCTAATATATGAAACCTTTCATCCTGTTGATTTCCACACAACATTCCAACCCGTGGAGGTAATTTTGAACTTGACTCAGTCACTAACGTTAGCAGTTGTGTCATCCAGGCTTTGGTCCTGTGTATATTTTAATACACATGGAAGAGTGACCTGGCAGGTAGTAGATGATGACAGCCGGCTGGGAGCGGATGGCACAGACTGCTGCCACGTGCCTCAAAGGCAGGGGTTGGAAGCTTTCTCTGTCAGAGGCCAGGTAGTATATAGGTTGAGCTTTTCAGGTCAGACAGTCTGTGTTGCAACCATTCAACGGCATTCTGCCTTTGTAAAAGCAAACAGAGACACCAGGTAAGCAAATGAGCTTACTTGTGTGTGGACACTGAGATTGGAATTTTCCATGTCATGAAATATCCTTCTGGTTTGTATTTCAACCATTTAAAAATCTGAAAACCATCCTTAGCAGACAGACTATATAAAAACAGGTGGTAAGCCAGATTTGGCCCCCAGGCTATCGTTGGCCAGCCCCAGTTCTAAAGGGCTGGGTTTCTAGAGGGAGGTTGGGAGGGAAGTCTGAGAAATCTGAGAAACCCCACCTTAAGGAATAGCAAGTAATTGGCAAAGAGGGGTATGCGGAGTGTGAGAGAAGAGCCTATCGTGCCACAGGAGAGGGCTGTAGGGAACAGCGTGCTAAGTTCAGGGGGGAGCACGGAATAGTCCATGAAGACATTGAGACTATCAGGGATTTTGCTGAGAGCTGCTCATAAATTCTCAGGGCACCATGGATGGTTGAAGGGATTGGAAAACGCAGGAGATGAGTTAGATGAGGGGACATACAGAGCTAGCAAGGAGAAGGGAATCTGGTGATAAGTCCAGGAAAGGTTGGGCTGCTCCAGGAGGTGGAAACAGCCTGGAATCAGTCCCAGTGTTCCCATTAAGGTTGTGGTTTTGTCCCTTAGGACATTTGGTGATGTCTAGACATGTGTTTGGTTGCCATGATCGGCATGCGGCGTGCTGTCGGCACCTGGTGGGTGGCGTCCAGGGATGCTACTGAACTTTCCACAAGGCATAAGACAGCCCTCTGCAACCAAGAATTATCTGTTCTAAAAATATCAGTAGTGCTGACTCTGAGAAACCCCACCTT